CAAATAATTGAATGGAAAATTTAGATGTCTATTACAAAGATAAACAATTTAGGGTCGAGAAATTCTTCGAAAAGATGGTCTACTGGATGAAGATGCACCAGAAGAACAAATGACTGCTGAGGAGATGGCTAAAAATTTGCAAAATACGTTGAAAATTATGCAAACCAAGTACTATTATAGAATATTTTAAATATTTTCCAATTTAAATCACACGTTAAATTCAAAAAAAATAGAAAAAATAGTCGGTGTTTCTTTTTTTGACAAATTTTAAATTTGTGAAATAATTTTTTAACAATAATAAATAATAATTACGAAAAATATGATAAAAATTTGGAGAAATGAGAAAAGAAATATAGTTAGAAATGAAAAATGAATTAATTTTTTTAAATGAATTAATTAATTAATTTTTTTATCAGAAATTCACAAATTAAACAAATGATAAAATATGAGAATTTTTATAGAATGGCTCGATTTGCAGCAGAATTCAGCAGTGTGAAGACGAAATTGCTAGCAAGAATTGAATACTTAGAAACACAATTAGCAAAATATCAAATTAATGACAGTTTGACCAGTTCCAATGATGATTATCAGATGATATGTGATAGTTAAATATGAATAATTACAAGGAGTAAAATAATTAGCTATAATTATACTTGTGATAATTACTACGTGTGTGAACTTAAATTACTGAAATTACAGAAATTGCATAAAAAAAGAAAGAAACGAAAATTTTTGGAAAAACTGATTTTAGAAATAGTTTAAAGTTTAACATAAATTTCAAATGAAATATAAATTCATCTGGACAGCATTTATTATTGTTTTTTGATTACCCCTAAAGGTAACCTTTTAAAAAATTTTAATATAACTCTAGAAACCAATCCTTTATTTTGATGTAATCAAATAAAATATATGAAAAATGTTAATCTTAAAATTGCTCAAATTTATGAAATATCTATGGTAAGACTATTTAAAAGATAATATTGTATGGGTTACAGAATAAAATTCATTTCATATACGTTTGATAAGAAAACAAACTGCGCCCCGCTCTAACTGAACTTACAGAAAAAGTAGATGATGTCATCAATTTATACAGTCAATATGCAAATTACTAGAAAACATATGGCAGAAGTTATTGATCATAGTTCTGTTATCAATAAGTGTGAGCGGTTTAATTGTGATGTCACTGCGAGGAATTATCATTTCAGTATCACAGGGTTAGTTGATTGTTTCCTTATCACTTCACTTTTATCAGTAGATTCAATCTTGATGGATTCTAATAGAAAGGAAAGAAGAAAAAAATATGAGAAAAAGTATGAAAAAGGTGATTTTTTGAAATTTTATATGAATTTTTTTTTTTTAAATAGATTAGCTAGTATATTATCAAGTAACATGTATAATAAAATAATTTAAAATAAATTATTTGAAATTACATCGTTTAGCAAATTTACACTTTCGTTTCTAATATAGTAGAAAGTAAAGTTTGCATATAATCTGAATATTTTAATCTAAATTTCATTGCTTTCATATAAATTTTATTTAAGGCGAGAAATAAAAAAATTCCAAAAGTTTTTACTAATTGCATAATTTCTACTATTAGCTAATGACTTGATTTCCATAATAAAAGAGCTACTTTTAATGGTTTAAATGAAATCAAACTAAGTAATAAATAATTTAATAAAAAAGAAAATAATCTGTGCTCATTTATTTATTACTATATAACTTTTTTTTTTTTCAAATGTCATAAATATAATGCAAAATTTAAAACAAATTAAAATTAATACCTACTATTTTGAATGTAAAATTTGACGTAAATTAAATTTTGTGTGCAAAAATGAAGAAAGAATAATCATAAAAAGAAACAGAGAAAATTACCTGATGGATTGCTCTTAGATAAACACTGATTTAGGATCATAAGACATGATTGATCTCCATAATTTGCATATATCATGCGTGAAATAGGGGTGCAGGAGGTTAAATTAGGGCAAGCAGTAGGGCAGGGTAATTTGGCGGGTTTGTGAGGGCGGGAAAGGTGGGATTCTGAAGTTGATAGCTTGGTGTGATTTTGTTTTCCTCTACTTGAAACGGTGTAGAGTACTGTGAAATTCGGACGATTATGAGAAGTGAAGAGGAGGAAAAAAAACGGATCCGGAAATAAGAAAATGAGAATATGAATTAAGCGCTTGCAAACAATATTTTCAGGATGAGACGGTTAATTTGTTAGTTGATTCTCTTAGAAATGTAAATCTATGAGTGAATTTGAAAATAAATGAAATAAGATAAAAGGAATGAAGTGAATCTGAAATGAATTATTGCATTGGATTGGATGAAATCGAAATTAAATTTTGATTGTTGCGATTAAAGCAAATGACAATAAAATTGTCACTTGCATACTGAATATCAGACAAAAGTTTTTGAAATATTTTAGGATTTCTGCTATTATCAAAATAAATTATTGTAATTACCAACAATTACTGTGAAAGAATAGAAATGATTAGCGTAACGTTTACGATTCATTAGTAGACGTAAGAATTGAAAAGTGACATTCACGTTACGTTACACTATTAAAGTTTACATTTAAATAAAATTATTCCTAAAAATTGCTATAAAATGTGTATATTTTATTTATTTAATATTTCACTTATGAGATTATGCAATTCTTCAATCATTTAAATATTATTCACAAAATACATTTCTGTTTCTTTTCACTTCTTATCTTTTAAAAATAATTAAAATGAAAATTAAAATTTTGGAGTTTTAAAATCTATAAGCTATTAAAGGCAGATTTAAAATAGAGTTTTGCATAAGTTTCTTTAAAGAAATAATGCATTTTGTCTACTTTTATCATCCGATAGTTCAGTGCAGCGTGCAGATGCACACATCAAATAAACCCCTTGTAGATATCATATAAAGAGCTCACAGTGCTAAACTGTTACTTTATTCCCTTTTATTCTATCCGTTTCAGTTATGCACTATCTATTCATTGAAATTAGTAAATTTAAATAAATTCTTTATCAATTAAATTATTATATTTTAAATAAATTCTTTATCAATTAAATTATTATATTTTAAATAAATTCTTTTGAAATTCAAAATTGATTTCAAAAATTCTTTATCAATTTCTGCACTTTATTACACGAAATGAAACGAAATAAGGAAGAGTAAGAGAGTTTTAGCCTTAATTTTGAAGTAAATATTTTTAAATAAATCCTTTCTAATCTTTCTCTTTCATTGCTCCAAAAATTGGAAATGATAAAGAGTAAGAATTCGACTTCGGCAATAGTATTATGAAAGTAATTGAGGGATTCATTTAATGTGTGAGTTTATCAATTAAATTATTATATTGATTATCCACTTTCTTTTTTTTAAATTTCAGTTTAATTCTAAAAGAACATATACATCAAGCGAGTAATTTGAATTGGATGTGTGAGTGTATTCCATCGCTGAGTATGCCAATCGCGGGCTATTGGGCTCTTCGCGGTGGTTTTACACCGCGAGCAAATCCCAGATATCCAAATGCTCACTTCCCACAGCGGGACATGTTTCGGCAGCCACGTAGCGAATTTTTTGTCAGTTTTTATCATCGTTCACAAGAAAGCGCCAAGGTAAGAGATTTTCTAATTTAGTAAAGCCTCGAAAAGGGAGGAGGAAATTTTTACTTCGGTGATAAAAAGATTTAAGAAAAATTTTTCACAGAAACAAGCCTAAAATTTTACTTTATTCAAAGACAAAATATAGAAAAGTGAAGTTTACAGATGTCATAGACCATGAATTTTTGACAATTAAATGTTAGGAAATTTGAAGATTGAAATTTAACTTCAAGACATTTAATTGGATCTTAATAGTTTTTGCAACAATTAACCTCTTATAGTAATGTTGATCTAGCCAAGCGTAAGCATATGAGTAAGCCAAGAAAAAAAAAATAAAGCTATATATTTGAACTGTAAATCACAATTCGTTTTTGCTTTATATTACCCTTGAAATTACAATTTTAGATGTTTGATGCCATGAAACGACGGGTAGAACTTGCTTATGAACAGCGTCGTAAGTCAGAAGCAAATCGGTTGCAAAAAGCTACAAATGGAAACATGATGCAATACTTGGAACGGGTATATTCGAAGCTTCTTAAATTATAACTGCAAATAAAAAATTAAAGTAGTGAAAGGAACCAAAAATAAGTTTATTTTTCAAACTTTCCAACATGCCAGGTACATATAGTAAATATTATACACTAAAAATTCTCAAAATGCAAAACCAAAGATGTTATATTAATACATTTCGTTGAAGGGTATCTCGCCATTTTTATCATTTTTATCTTGGGAATAAAACGATACTTCTACAAATAATCAGATTTACTAAATTATGAAATTTTGTACCCAGTCTAAAAATTTGTATTATATTTGCAACTTTTATTTCAGTGCCTACATTTGAAATAGTTAACCAGTATTTAAGAATTTTTTATGAACATTTTACCATCACTGTTTGTTGATTTAATGTCATAGCTTTTCCGATGCTTAGTCTCTATATACGATTCATACAACGAACTTGAGTCGTATTTAGAGTTTAAATATCAATAGAACCTGTACGATGGAAAATTTTTTCTCTTAAAATTTTAGAGTTTTAAGAAAAAATGCTTGAAATTTACGTTTTTTAAAGATTCCATTATCGAAAAATGTTACGTTGACAATCGAGATACCAAATGCCGAACATGCCGGCATGATAGAGCGAATGGAAGCTTGGTGTGATGAAGATTCAATACCACAAATTATGCAAGATACTGGTGTACTCATTCAGTTCCCTGATTTGGCGCCTGATGCTAAAAATGCCAATGATTATGTAAATAGAGTAGGTTTTATTATGAAACTTAAAGATTATGAAAGTTTCAAATTCTTGCTTTGAATTTTTACTCATATAGTTCTTGCTCAAACATAAAATTCGAAAATATTTTACAATCTTATTACATATTTTGGGATTTTCTGTTAGCTAATGAAATTAGCATATTTCTTTAACAATTTTCTGAAAGTGAAGAGCATAAAAGTTTATTTAGCTAATAGCTAAAAAAAAAGGTAACGTTTTTTTTTTTTCTGCAGGTAACGTTAACAGGACCGTTGGCGAATGTTGAACAAGCCAGGATTCGAATTAGAGTATGATATGCTTCCTGATTTTTTCCCTTTACGCTGATTTTTTGTTTTCAAGTTGAAAATCTGCAAATGACTAGAGATTTCTTTTTTTTTTAATTGCAATAGTTATGCTGTTTGATGATACGCAAAATTTTTTATCAAAATATTATAATTTCTTGCAGAATTTTACACCTGTAGCAATCAGTTTTCCTCTAAAGACATTGAAACCTAATATATTAATGAAGGACGTAAAAAGTGTTATTGATAAAGCGATTGCAGAAAAATTAATTAATTTTCCTAACCTTGAAATAATGGTGCAGTCATCACAGTTGGTGAGTTCTTTCTTATTTGATGATTCAACGACTTCACCACTCATCGTATGATGGGAAGCAGATGTAATCTGAGTTTTTTTGACGAATCAAGATTGTTGTTCTTCGTGTGAGAGGTAAAAGGTATTAGTTATCAAAGAACAAATAAAATCTAAAGATACTGAGTTTTAAGCTTTTTTTTTTTCGTTTATTTTAAGTTATTTTTTTTTAACTTCAAGTTTTAACTATCTTAGCAAAATTTTGGAAATGAACAGAAATTCTGCTCCATTGATTCAACCGCTGTAAAATACCTAATATTACCTATTTTATAGTCAAAGGATCCCGTTCCATCGTGTGTTGTGCGTGGTGTACCATCGCACGAAGGAGATATATGTAATGCCTGTACAGCTCTTCATCGATTGCTGCTTGATACTACAAACGACAGCGAACATGTAAATCTTGTTCATTTAAGATTACAAAGATCTAATGACAAGTTCAAAACTGGCGAGTCAAATAAATAGGCTGAAGCACACTTTTTTAGGGTTCAGCAAAGATATTTTCAACAGTAATGGATATACCAGCTGTGCAACAGCTAGCTGTTACGGGAGTACCAGACGGATATTTGATACGAACGATAAGTTTAGAAACAAATGCTATCATTTATTTTCCAACTGTGGCAGATCGTCATTTTGGAGCAACCGTATTTTATCTCTATGGTTCTGTGCATGCTATTATGAAAGCCAGGAAATATATTCAGGTTCACTATTCTTATTACTATTTCCTATTCTTTACTTCTGTGAATTATTTACTTATCCCAATTAAATACTTTTTTAAGTACTACTTAATTGTTATCTTTAATTGTGTAATTTATTTGACATAAAATATTTTTCATTCAGTACGCGAAGAGAAAATAGATTTAATGTGGATTAAGACTAGTAATCCAAAAAAAAAAAAAACCTTTTTTGAGCGAAAGATAATTTTGTTTCAGGGTCTTTTACCTGTACGTCTAATTTTTGATGTGGAAAATAATGACTTACTTTCTCCGGTTGATGCATCAAATCGAGAGTTGTTCTTGCGTGATGCAGAACGTGATTTGACAGTTATGGTGAGGAAAAGTCGCTTAGAGGGAGAGCAATTAATGACGGATGATACTTTACGAGTATGTGATGAAATTTCGAATTTCATTTTATATTTTTTCTCGATTATTTACTATCGCATAAAGGAATAAAAAAAATCTTTGACTACCTCAAAACATTTGCCAAAATTTTAAAGAGATCACTCAGATGGCTAAAACCGGAGAAAGAATAGGGATGAAAGATGATGAGACTTATCAATTAGCACTAATAGTTGGAAAATATTAGTTTTTGCACTTGTTAGTTAATTCTATATCAAATTTTCATTTGCAGAATATCGTAACAATTGAGTCTGAAGAACACAATCTAACTAATGTTTATGCAATGCGTCATCAGCTTCTTCGGAATAGTGCATTGGAGAATGAGCCATTAGTCATAACGAAAGATTTCGACTTCTTTAAGAATGATTTTAAAGCACGAATTGCTGAAAATAATAAAATTATTGCCGAGGTAACTTTTAAAATTATAGGAAAATGGGCCCAGTAAGCAAACGAGCTGTCGGTCTTCTTTGAGAGATAGGAGGAAAATATTTACTTATCAAAAAGTATGTTTAATGTGGCGAAGTGATTAAGGATTAATTGTTTTAAAAAAAAAAATTCAAAGATTTTTTAAAATTATTTTCAGAATTCAAGTGATTCGCTGGCAAAGGCTTCATCATTACTTTATTCCCAGTTGAATCAAAATAAACAGTCCAGCTGTAAGAGAAATTATGGAAAATTTCTGTTTCTAATTTCTTTTCCTCAAAATTTTATTCCAAAATTCTTAAGCGTCATTAATCTTTTTCAATTACAATATGTAGTTAGAAATGCTTTCGTTAAAGATTCTTTAAATCTAATTACTTAATTATTTTCTCACCCAGTCTAATTTTAAAAGCTTAGTGGACAGGGAAACAATCTTCATTGTCGTTATTAATTCTTTTGATAATTTATTATAATAATTTCCACATTTCTTTCAGCACTTCAAGCAGTAGCCGTTCTTTCACCACCTGCAATAAATGATATTGCTTCGTTGTTACCACCAATGCATATTTGTCAAGAAATATTGCAGCCATTGGCAAATGAAAATGCACCAATCGCATTAGCAGTTGGTGGCAGTGCTGCAAGTAAATATACTTTTTGAAATCTTCATAATTTAGCTTCATGGTATATCAGTTATTCAGCAAAAATTTTTTATTGGAGTTGACTGGTCATACCTTTAAAAAAAGTTATCCTGCAGCACTGTTAGTCTGTCTTTGATATTTGCACAAGTTCCCGCAGTTAAAAACTGGAATATTGTGAATTGCGTGTATGCTGGAAAACTATTTGATAAATAGTTCCCAATTTTATTTACTTTTATTAACCTTAAAACTGGGATTCATATCCTGATAGGTTTAACTTTATAAACAAGATGTTAATAGAGATGAGATTACTACTTTTGTCCACATATAATTGACAGAATGTCTGTTTCTTCTTTTATCGAAAAAAGTAGTTTGTGAATTAAATGCACCAGGAGATTAAAACTTTTCCATGCATTCTTTTTACTGTTAAAGGAACTTATAACAAGTATTGTACAAGTAAAAGTAGCAGTTATGAAAAAAATTTTTTTTTTAAATATATGCGAATTCACAGCGTATAACTTCAATAATAGCCGTTTCCATTTCTCTCAGTACTGTTTCTATTAAAGCTATAACACTTGAGGATATGTTAAGAAATTATGACCTCATTTTATATCTTTACTCCTTTTTAAAATTTCACTCACTATGTGAACTTGTGGATAATTTGGAACAACCACATACAAGATTATAGGACAGAGAAAGACGGAAGAAAGAGCGATAACGTTTTCGGCTTCACCGTCATCAATTGTACCAAAAGTTAGTGACTCGACTTCTACATTACCACCAAAACTTTACTAGAGCTGTTACATTACTCTGAAAATAATTGCTTTTTTACTGATCTCGAAATTTAGGAGCTAGAGTAAGAGAATTATGCGATATGTGAAATAACGTTTATGTCAAATCGGAGTCAATGTTAAAAAAGTACTTGGAATACAAGTTGAAATGAGTACATTTATAGGGACGAAGTGCTTCAGGTGGGATGAATATATCTGTACCACAATTTTTGGATGTGTTTAGACAGAATAAAAGTAAGAGTATCGTAATGATTTCAATTGACGATTTTGAAAGACCATTACCGGATGTATCTATGCCACGAAAGGTTCTGATTTCAACTTTTAATTTCAGTGTTGAAAATATTCAAAAAATTACTAATAGAAAAGAAATATACAAGTCAGTCAATGGATTTAGAAAACTTTAAGCAGTTAATTCCTAAAAACGATGTGGCTGCTCCCCAAAAAGAGTTTGCAATTCCAATCACACCTTTTTTTTTTGAATCTTTCAAAAAGCTTTTCCTCTTTTTCATATTAGTTCTCATCGCACTGAGTTCAGCTATGTGACGAAGTAAGAAGTTCGGAGATGTACCACTATTCTAATTGTATTCCACCAAACTTTATTATGCCATATTATTCTTTGCTACTATATGAAATGGCTAAATTTTAATGTTTGAAAGGAAGTGCTGTGGACCCTCAGTTTTCTGCTTCATATTGCGTTATCTACCCGATTCCAAATGGTTTGGGTAATGATGCACATACATAGCATTCCTCCGTCTCCTAATTTCATTTTGATGTTTGGGACTATTGATTTTCCTGTCCGAACATATCTTATCTTCTTCATACTTCATGTCCAGTTTTTTTTTTTTTTTTTTTTTTTTTTCAGATGGAATATATTCGAAATAATGATAAGGCGTCTGCCAGTCAAAGTTCTAATCAATGTCCGGAAAAGTACGGTGCAGTTCCTAGCAATGCTGATTATAATTTAGCAGACAGCAGCACTACTTCGGGTAATAAAACAGAATCGGAGAATTTGTACGAAAAGTCATCAGTATGTTTGCAGTCGTTTGTATCTCAGTCACAGAGTTTGATGAGTTCTGGAGCTAATGTTGTCGATGCATTAATCAGTGACCAAGGTAATTTACCAGTGATCGGAAGGAGTAGTTTAAAAAGTGAGATTTTTGTATGACTGGAGACGAATATACCTAATTAAGTCCATATTTTCAGGTTCTACAACAGTAGCAGTAGCCGCTGCCATGCTTCAGAATAGTCCGCCGCAGTGGTTTCAGTCATCCGATACAGTAGAAGCACTAAAATCAGTTAAATATTTCAGGCATATTCCTCGAATACAGGAGAAAAACACGATCCCAGAAACATTCGTAAAGGAAGCAGGTACTTATGCTTATTTGAGTTAACAAGTGGTTATCAATCCTTTATTAAAATGAATTTCAACCTGCTAATCTTACTAAAACTGAACGAGCTCAGGCTAACTGTCTACATTTCAAGATTAAGTGCACCTAATGTTGCAAAGATTTCTGGTTTCTTTCCATTATTTATCTAAGTATTGTTATTTATTTTATTTCAATATCAGTATGTCAATATGTCTTCTATAGATATAGAGTACGCTCAAATCTCAGTGATGAGTTCTCCAGAAAAAACTTGGCAAACGAAGAAAAATCTTCCATTGAAGTCTTCATTTATGAATAAGGTTTCATCTCTAATTTGTTTGTTATTGTTTACTTGAACACTACAGTTATCAAGTTATTTTAATTTTTGTCATTACTAAAAACTAGGATAAGCGCAGAAAATAATCAAGCTTTACTGATAATTTTGAAGTGGTTACACTTTACATAATTTCATATGATTGACTTCATAATCTTTTTGTTGCATCAGCAATCTTTAATGAAAATAGAATAATATGACTATGAAATTCTGATAGATGAAAAAATTTCTGAAAAATGTTGAATTTCAGAATTGTATTCGTGAATACGATCGTGACATGGGCGCCAGTACAACTAGTGACACATCGCGAGAGTTAATGGCAAAAGGTTGGCGACTTTTTTACATATAATTGCTTATTTTTTCATTCCTAAGATTCATTAAATATTTATAACAGTTCGGAATTTAGAATAATTGTCCTCATGTCTTTATCTCTACTATCATGAGCAACTACTTTACTAAATTTTCAGAAAAATAATGACTTTAATTTCTTATGTCTTGTTTTCTTGTCTGTTGGTCTAATCTTCACCTTTTAATGCCTTGTATTTGTAGTGCAAATATTATCAAAGTTTTATGAAATTTTTTTTTTTTTGCTCAGTCAGTCGTTTGCAGAATCGGTAGAAACTTCATGTGATATGCGCCTATCATCCTTATCTGTTAATCGCAATGCCAACTCATTATATTCAGTTTCATGCGGCAACTTTGCACAAAATTCTAATAAGCATCGGTTATAGTTTAAAATTTTCAAAAAAACTGATTAGATTTGGGTCTTATTTTAAACTGACTTTAAATAATCTGTTACAGATTACAGTATCATAATAATGGTAATACCGGTGATGCATATAATTATCGAACAAAACGCCAACCATTGAGAAGTAAAATTTTCTTTTTTAAAAAAAAAAATCTTGAAAGTTTGCAATTTTCTTTCCTACCAGGAATAATATATTTTGAATATTCCAGCACGTGATACTACTGTTTGGGAAAATTCGCATTGTTCATCATCACAATTTCATCATCATTACACGCATTCGAATACACGTGAAATTTTTCCAAGAAAGGTAAAGTTCTAATTTACCTAATAAATTCTTAAATTTCAAAAATGTTTTATATTCCTGGAAAATTGCATGTTTTACGGATTTTTTATTTCGAATGTTTTGTAGTACCAAGGACGATCAACTTACAATTCATCGCGGTGGAATTCCAATGGTATGGTACGTGGTGGCCGTACAGTGAGACGATCGATGAATAATTACTCCGGAGGTTATAACTCATCATTATCTTATTCTCAGACAACCTGGACCTTTTCATCATCGAGTTACAATGAAGGTAGAAGATATGATAATCGAGCAATGACGTATATGCGTTTTAAAAGACAATTTGTTAATGGGGCGCATTTGGAAGAAAGAGGGAAATTTGATCGACGAAGAGGACGATATGCTCCTTTCCATGAAGAACATCAGCATAACTGTGTCTGTGATCAATTCCGAAAAGGTTATCCCTATTCCAGTTTTTGATTTCAAATTCCGTAGATTTGATTAGTTTTCTTCTCTGTATTCATATATTTTCTTCTATACAATAGGGAACTGAGCAGAAAAGCGATTTATAAAAAATAGGATAAATACAAGTCAAATTTTCATAGTATTATTATAAAGTAGCAGTAAGATTTAACTTATTGCTACTTTATAATATTCGAGATATAATTTTCTTTTTAAATAATATTTTTATTAATCAAATTAAATTAAAAGCACTTTCCAAAACATATAATGAAAATTGGCTCTGTTGTAGACTCTGAAAAATTAAACAATAACATTAATAACAATGTTACATCACCACCGAAGCTGTTGGTTAAAGCCAAAACTTACGCAGATACAACGAAACGGGTTGATATTATGGTACTGATCGATGAGGCACAAAGAAGTCAGAATGAGCAATCATCACGAAGTGTACAGCACTTGAATAGTCCGTTTCTTATATTAAATTTTGAAAACTTAATTTAAATTTCGAAATTTGATGGAATCAAATCTAAACTTATTAGATTTATTTGTTTTATGTTCAGCTCATTGCATTTTGTGTGATATATTAACATTCATGTAAAAAAAGTATTTATTCATAATGGTTTTATGTCTAGGGCCACCATTAATGATGAAGGAGTTGGAAAAATATACAGGAAATGGTGATATCAGTTCGAAATCACACACGGATATGACAAAAAAAGGCAGCACCGAGGATGAGAAAATTCAAAACAAAACGCTAGTTTTCTTTCTTTTTATAATAGTTATTGCTAGATTTACATCAGTTTTTTTTTTCCCAAAAATTTATTTATAACATAACTTTTTCATTTATTAAAATCAAAAAATTAGCATGCAACAGTTAAAGAAAACATATGAATTTAAATAGCTCTTTCATTTCTAGACTTGGTCAAGGTGAATCTGGAAGTGATGTTATGCAGAAAGGTCTTTCGTTTTCAACTATTTTTTTTTTATATATCAAACCCAATGTTTTAAGCTACTTATCTTCCACCAAAACTATTTCGTTTATATGCCTCATCGCAGCATGGAATTAGCAGCGGGAATTGGACAAATTAGATTTGCTTTAAGACTTTTATCTTACAATTTCATACAAGTTAGATAATAATAATACCTGTGACGACTGGAAGTCTTGAAGTTAACATTATACTGATGAACTGAAAGGTTTAATGATCCTGATTTGTTGTTCATCCCTTTCTTTGACATCATTTTTTTTTTTCAAGGAAATGTTTAAAATATGGCAGATATATTGCGCAGAAATTTTTCCTCTTTGAAATTCCACTTTCTAAGGAAGCACTAAAAATTGAACATCTAGTTGTCAATTATTAGTTTTTTCTAGATAACTGTTAGATGAAAAGATTTCTAAATATATTAAATTGACGATATGTATGAGAAAAATTTTGCAGTGAAGTTTTATAACAAATAATTTATGCTATTTTCAGAATGTCGAAGTGATGGTTAAACTGAATTTCGATGTCTATTCGTCTGATCCATGAAATTATTCACAACTGTATTAAAATCCCCATAAGTTGATGTCTTCTCTAATGTAATTATGGAACTCTAATTTCTATGTGAAAAGTTACTGTGGAAATACCACGAATCGCATGTATCAGGAATGAAGTTCTCTCTTTAAATACTGTGAAATTTTGTATTGTCACTACTACTTGTGAATCAAGAAATTTTATTCAGTGCTTTATATTTTGATGCATTCAAAGTTTTTGATATAACCTTAATTTTTAAAAATGTATTGTAGTCATATTAGAAAAATATAATTTATTAATATCAATTAGCCTTCTGATCGATACAAATTTACTTTGCCGATGCCTGTCTGCGAATTTCAAAAATTTCTCGAGTCTTTCACAGTTTACAATATCTGAAGTGCATTATTTCTTTGTGCTGATAGTAAGAAGTCTTCTTAGAATGTTTTGATAATTTTATACTGATTGGCTGATGTAATCAATAGCAGTAGATGAAACATTCAAATAAAAGTCCTCTAAATAGTTCGAAACTGTATTATAAGAAGAATTAGAAATTATAATTAGACTTAAAAGAAGTGAAGCGTTTGCAGATTCTTTTAAAAACTACTTCAAAAGTGATCAAAAACTAATGTAATCAATCTGCAGTGCTTGAATTTTGCAAGCTTTGTTGCTCTCTATTTATTCCTATATTTATTCATACTAAAATTTATTTGCTGATGAAAAAAGGAAAAAATCCTTATGAATATTCACAGGATTGTTTAACAATTTCCGCTAGTTCAAATTAATTTGACTTAAAATTGTTTAATTCAATTCATCTTGCTTACTTTTGAATTTCCTCCGGAATTGTTCCGGTTAGATGAGATTCTGTGAAGCATGTACAGAACTTATCCCACCCAATATTTTATTTGGAATTTTCGTTCTTTTGGTGTTGCTTGCAGTTATGGCAATATTTCTTTTCAATAAAAAGATTTTCAATAGTATTTTGTTTTTTATGATCCATTCGAAATTTTCATGTGGACGTGGATGATTTGACTCAATTTTTGTGGAATTGATTAGAAAGAATTATCAGTCTGTGGAAATGAAAATTAGATGTTAATCATTTAGATACCATAAATGTCTCCCCGGTATTTCCCAGAGAAGTTGTAAACAGTTTGAAGCTTGGAGTTGATTTCTCATTGTTGTTTTATTATGTTTCTCTTATGTTAGACTTCTTTATTATCAAGCTCACATAAAGGACCAAATTATGCTGCATTTGTTCGTGGATTCATAATTCTTTTTCATCTTTTAGAGAATCAAAATGTTCATTTCTTCCAAGAATTAAGTTTGTTAAAAATGTTAAGAAAAATTATAATTGATAATACTAATAAATTTAAGAATTTTAGGAAAAAAAAGATTCCAGATGATAGGTTATTACTTAGTGTCATTTTTTGAAGAGATTTTTCTTTATTTGCTAATTTTTCAATGAGAATTTTTATAATGAATTACTCGAGATATTATTGATTAGTAATAAATTATAATAATGGATTGTATTGCAGTGAGTAAAATAATTTCACTTAAATTCGAATAACTTTATTGATGCTATATGTTTCAGGAAGTTATTCAATGAACTTTTTTTTAAATCTTATAATTTTCCTAAAAATGCTGAAATAAACATTAAAACTTATCAACGCTTTAAATTTTTTAATTGCTAATTTAAATTTAAATGCTTCATGTATTTATGCATAATTGTTCAATACAATCAATATTAAACTAAGTTTTGCTTTAATCATCTTTTATTTATTAGCCGAACGTATGAAATGGAAATATTTCAAAAGCAAATCTAATAAATATGAAAATATTCAAAAGTATTTCTCAAATTAAATTTGCTAGAAAAAAGATAACTTAAATTTTCACAAACCTTAAAAAAATTTTTTTGCTTAATTTTTTACAATTTCATTAATGATTATGTTATCATATTTATTATTGTCATCATTTATTATATGTGGAATAATAGATGTGAAAATGAGTTCAGTGACAAGTAATTATTACTTTCGAGTTTTTATACCTAAATTATTAAGTACATTACAATTACTGTATCAAGTAAACATCTCATATAAATTGTTTTGTTTTTTTTTTTTTTTTTTTTTTTTAATAAGCATTTAAACATTGAAAAAATTTCTCATTAAGATACATTGCAAATTATATTATTAAGATGGAGTAATTGTTTAAAAAAAATCGAAATATTTTATATTTGCATCTATCTTTTATAGTTGAAATAATTGTTTTCAAATATTCTCTCATGCAATTTGTAATTTTTTAAGGATTAAAATTTTAAAATAACTTGTATAAATAGATATTAACAATAATAATATGATATTCTTTGTTTTATTTTGTACAGCCAGTATTAATTAAATAATTAATTATCACTTCTTATGTGTAAATAATTGCATTTCTATTTTAATATAAAATATTTATTACTTAAGCATGACAGAAATATGAACATATTGTTTTAGGTGATTTTTTCTTCTTCAATAATTAGTAATATTTAATTAATTGTCAAAAATACTGCAAAGAGCATAAGTGAACTGTAAAGCCATAAAAAGCAAAAAATATTTCAATTTCCAAAATCTAATAATCATCGCTTTTTTAAAAAAAAAAAAGAAATAAAAAAATGACACAAAGTTTAAATATGAAATTTATTTTGTTAAACAGATCAGAAAACAGCTAATTCTAATTTTGATATGGAATATTTGATTTGTTTGCTTGTGTTTGGTAAAGGAGGTAAATACTTCATTGTAGAGATCAACAAATATTTACCAATCAGATATTTCTCTGAACTTTAAATCTAATCAATTCTTCTACACATTGAATCTGTGATACTATTAGCATAACATATTGCCATTTAATATCTTTTCGTTGATTAAATAAAATAATATTAGAAAAAAATTAAAAAAAAAAATTTATTCTAATAAAATAATACTTATAAAATTTAAATGAAACAATAAATCTGTTAAAAAATTAAGGAAAGGTTAAAAATTTTTAGAAATTTTATAAATGAATTGCTTTTTCTTTTGTTACTCTCAAAAATTTCGCATATTATTCTATGATTTTTGCAAATATTAAATATTTGTGTTATTTTTTTTCTAAAATTACAATAAGAGAAAAAAATTTCTTTTTTGTAATTTTAATTATAAAATCAATTAATCTTTTTCTATTTTCTATTTTTTTTTTTTTTTTTTTGTTATTTTTTTCTCATTATTATATTTCATTTTGAAATTTCAAAGGATAATTTCGAATTTTAAGAGGATAACAAGCAATGAACAACAAATTAACGGTTGTTTAGAAATTTTTGTATAGATGGAAGGTGGTAATATTAGCAAGAAGGTAAAATGGGATAAGTTATGTTTACTTCTGGTTTTACAGGTGAGATGGTAGATGGTTGATGAAGTTTGAGTTAGCAATTCGATGTGATCATATTTAAGTGGTTTCACTGAGAGGGGTTAGCAGGTAAAAGAAGAGAGGTTAAGAAGTTGAAGAGAGATGAATGATTGGAAAAGAGAGGGATTATTGAATGCCAACTTGCTAAACCAATAATAACTCAAAAGAATCTTAAAAGTATGCTAATCTTAAACATTCTTTACTATGGTCATTTGTCATTTTATGTGGTCACTCAGTGGATGGTACAAACTTATTGCTCAATCACAATTTCGCTAATTTCTTTTAGCAAATAGTATTTAACTTTCCTTTCTTCCTTCCTTTTTTTTTTCCCAAATAGTAAGACAAAAAAATGAAAAATCCATTTTTAAGCAATTTAGATTTGAATGACCGCAAATAACTCTGTCAACAAAGTACATTATTGGACGATTGGTGCTATTATAATGCTCCTTGGAGCAGTAATTCTACTAATTTGCTCAGGTAATTTAATGTTACAGTTTGAATAATTCATTCATTATTTAAATATAAATTTAATAAATCAATAAGAAATATTATTCTTCTTTGAAAACTACAAAGATCATAGATAATTAATTAATTAATTAATTGATAATAAAAATTTGTCTCATTTTATTCAATGTTAGCTTAAACTTTAAATGTAGGCTTAGCATGGACTGTTACAATCTGTAGAATCAGTAATCAGTGTGATCAATGTAAACTATTAAATGTTGGCCAGAAATGTCTCAAAGATGAACAATATGAGCATTTATTCTGTAATACGACTGATAAGTAAGTTTGCTTATATTTACAACTATTTTGCTACATTTTTAAATTATCATTTAACAATTTAGCTTATCATAACTGAGGTTTTGTCATTATCATTCAATTAAAGTCTAAATAAATTATTGTAATAAATCGACTAATACTAATTTATGAAGTAATATTATCATTTCCTCCTCAAAGTTGTTTTTTTTTTTTTTTTTTGTAATATCAAATTACTTCCAATATATTTAATTAATTTAAAAATTTATTCAAATTATTATCCATATTGCGAGCAATTATTTACATAAATGGCACTATCACGGGTCACTTACGTCAAAATATTGGGATAATACAGTTAAATTTACCAAATTTACTGTTTTCTTTTTTTAATCTACCATCAAATTTACTTTTTTTTTTCTTTAAATCACCAGACATTTTGAAAAAAAAAAGCGTATAGAAAAATATTATTTAATTATCAAATGAGAATTACACATTCTATAAATTCAATTATACTTTTGAAAGAATGAATAACTTTCTTATTTTTATTGATTTATTTACTTTATTTGTTATATATAATTATCAAATATTTGAAAGTAGGCAAAATCTTCTACAAAAAGTGTTTTTTAATTGAAAATACACCTTTTTGCTTCATTAATTATGGTTAATTATTTTTTGAAATTTAAAATTTTAATTCATTTTTGACATTTTCAAAATTTTAGTCGTATTAATATCTATGAGAATTCATACTTATTTTGCGATACAAGAAAGAATGAATTAATTGCAAAGCGTTGTGCATCTGATGAGCATTTTGTAAACGGAACTTGTTTGAATAATCATCAACATCGTAAACGACGTGAAGTTGCCGGATCCGGTCGTGTTGGTGATTACTGTTCCGTCAATGCAGATTGCTTGAATGTTCGTTTTTAAATTTTTATGCTTTAAAATTTAAAAAAAATGTCACATATATTTTGAAAATATTAGCTGAAATTGTGGCTTAGACATTAGCAAATTTAAGATTTCTTTTTATTTTAATCGTTACATGCTAAATAAATTTAATTTAGAATTGTAAATTTTAAAAGTTATAATCATGATTAGATTAGTGTAGCTATTATTATATCAATGTTGAATTGATTAAATTATAATTACTTGAATGATATGATAAAATGTATCATAACTATCAATACATTCAATATAAATATAAACATTAGCTAAGGACTGATCAGTTTCTTGAATAAAATTCCTAAAATCAATTTTAAATTATTTTTTACTAACTATTAAACTAACTAGGACACTTCTTGATCAATCAAAATTATTATTATTAGCGAATTTAATTTTAAACATTTTTTAATTATTAACGAATTTAATTTCAAAGAATTTTTTAAGCATATAATTGTTGAAATTTGATGTGTGTGACATTACCTTGAAATGTATATTATGAGTAAAATAAACTTATTGAAATATTTTTGAAGAAATAAACATTCATTTTATCAGTTGCACAAAGAAAAGATTTAATATAAATGATATAAAATTATTAGTTGAAATTTTTTAAATAAATTAATTTTTTTTCCAGTTTTTTTTTTTTTTTTTAATTTTAATTTGAAAAATAGTTTGCAGGGAATGTTTTGTTCAGTTGGTGCTTGTACATGTCGAAGTAATTTTGTTACCATTCATGGATATTGTTATCTCAGTAAGTTCATCATTTTTTGTTAAAAATTTTAATTTCATATTTTTATTTAGCATATTGTATTGCCAAATTTTCATTGCTTTTTTTGCAATGAAAGAAAAATTGAAATTAATTTCAATATGAAAATTTAACTTAAAATTGCTATGATAAGAAAAGTCAATCAAAAATCTTGGATGATTTTTCTAAATACATTCACATCTTAGATTCAAATCAATTCTTATTGAGTCAACTAAATTTAAATTTAAAACTTGAAATGTAACTATTTTAGCTAAAGAAATTTTTAGAATTTTATTGGAATGTTCAAAAAAAAAAAATTAATTAAATAATAATTTAATAATCATTAAATGTTGATTAATTCATGCAATTCTTTGATTCTCTCGAGAAATTAGAAATCAAATAATATTAAATTCTGATTTTCATTATATGCAATGTTTAGGCTTTTACTTACGTTAAACGCTGTCGCATCAATAAATAATAATAAAAATTACCAAAATGCAACATTTCAAACAATTGATTAAAAAAAAAAAGAAAAAATTTAAATTTAATATTAAGAAATTTTATTCATCATTGCATTTTTTTTTTTAATTAATAAAAAATTAGAAATAATTTTAAATTAAAGAGAAAAATATTGGTGAAAATGGTTGCCAGTACTCAGAACAATGTAATTCGGCATGGCCTGGTGCACGTTGTGTAGAAAATAAATGTGAATGTCCATCTGATATTAATGGAATTCCATATGTGCAAGCACATACTCGTGATGGTACTATTTGCATTCTATTATTTGGCGATGATGATGATCCGGTGCCGAAATGTCCATTACCGGAATATGATGATGACTTATTAGCAATGCCAATAACACAACTTCGAAATCCAGCAATGACTGATCCAGATGATGATGATGTATGTTTAACTTTAGTAATAAAAAGACTTCGAAATATTTTATTTGAAAGTAAAGTAAAAGAAAAATAACTGTATTTAATTATATAAAAAACAAGTTTTCTTTTTTAGTAATACTTGTTATATAGGTAAGGTTAAAGGTTAAGAAATGATTAACAAACATTTTTTTTTTTCCTTTTTCATTTCAGATTTTAGCAGGCGAACAAATTAATCCGTTGCAATTTTGTTCTTCAACATCTACCGATTACAATACATTTGTAGCAAATGGTGGTGGTGCATGTACCTATGCCACTGAACCGTATCAACCGGAAAATGGAATTTACATTGCCGATATTTACGACTGTGTAACGGTACCATTGAATAATGTGAAATTAGCAATGAAAGGTATTTACAATATTCATCCGCAAGCAGATGGAATTTGTTGTCCAAATCGTGGTTAGTTAAAAGAATAATTTTAAAAAAATGACTAATTTTAAAAATATGTTCAAAAAAAAATGATAAAAAGTAAAAGAAATAATAAAAAGTTTAAAATTTAAAGTTAATAAATCATTTGTGTAAAAGAAAAAAAAAATTTGTAATCATTTTGTTATTTCAATTTTTAGATGCTTAAAATGAGGGTTCATTTAAAATATTTCTTTTCCTTTTTCCATTTTTTTTTTATAGCATTTACTTGTATGCAACCAAAACGTGAAGCAAAATTAAATGTGAAAGAATCAGCTGGCGTACGACCACGTTGGTGGTTTAATTCTGTAACCGGTATATGTGAACAGTTTATGTGGGATCCATGGGATGAAACGGAAGTACAATCACCTAATAATTTCAAAACTCGTGAACATTGCGAATCATATTGCAAAGATAGTAAGTTATTCGTTATTAAATTTAAATATTTTTAGTAAATAATTTATTTATCTGTAATTGAAATAATATCACAAATATAAATAAATGATAATTTATTAGAATTTATTCAAGTTTATAAATTATATTCCTTAGTTACATCATTTTTAAGCAACAACATATCTAATGCTATCCAAGCAATACATTTAATTAATTAATTATGTATTCTCGTAAAAGAGTCAGGATGAAATTAAATGATAATTTTCGAAAAACTTAAATTTTAAATTTATTATTGACATTCAAATTTTTGAGGTAATATTTATTTATTTATTTTTTTTTTTTTTGTAATTTATTCATTTTTTAAGGTTGCAAACGTGGCGCCCCGGAATATTCAGTGGGGCGCATTTTGAACGAAGAGGAACCAATCACTAATTGCCAAACAATAAATTCATGTTCAACCAATTTTGAATGTAAAGCAAATGATTGGAGAGAAGTTTGCTGTCCAAGTGTTACAAGCATATGTAGTATTGCTGGTGGACGTCCACTTGACCCTTCTCGTCATACTAATTTTGACCCCGGTTACAGTATGAAAAGGTCAGAAGGTCGCGGCAAATTTTTTAGGATAAAAATAATTCAAAGATTGTACAAAAGCAAAGTTTCATGCAATCATTCATAGTTATTAGTTTTTTAATAAAATTTAAAGTTGTTAAAAGAATTTTCATTTAACTCAATACTTAGTCCAATTATGAATTTTATAAAATTTTTTTACAGAAAATCTTAGATTTATCACTTTTAAAATTTAAATATGATTTAATTGATTATCAAAAAAAAAATATAGAAAATAAAAAAATAGTAAATATGAAGAATGACTGATATTAAATAATGCAATATAATTGAATGAAGTGAATTTCTAGAATGTTTAATTTAAACTTCGAGAAATCTCGCCGTTATTACTATGATTCGGAACAAGGCCGCTGCACATCATTTACATACAATGGCGCATTGGGTAATTTCAACAATTTCAAATCATTGTCTGACTGTGAATTATTCTGTGAAAAACTTCAATGTAAACATGGAACAGCGTTAAAAATTCGACAGGTCACTCAGCGATGTAATCGTAATAGCCATTGTCCAAGCACACATGAATGTCAGATGGACAATAAGATTTGTTGTCCGAAACTTCGTTCGTTTTTCAAATTTCTTTTCTTTTTTCCCCTTTATTATTTATACATTTTAATTATATGAATGAATAAATCTCTTCTTTCGAAAAAAAAAATGCTAAATTTGAGTGAAATTAAAATAAATAAATTATTTGAACAAATAAAATTTCAAAAAAAAGGGAAAAGTCAATTTAATTAAAAATTTTACTTTAATGAAAAAATATTGCATACAAAGAAAAAGAAAAAAAAAATGATTTCGATAAATACAAGCTTGATATCTGATTTATTTTTATATTATTTAAAAAGCAAAGCTAAATTTTTATTAAATTTAATTCACTAATTTATTATGCACAACGATAATTATACAATTAATTATTTGGTTACTATATAATAATTTTTTTAATTCATTATTAGTGGTTATATTTCGAGTTTTCAACAAGTTTATATTATTCAAATTTCAATAAAAATATTCTAATTTATTAAGTTAAAAGTCTAAGCTTAAGCCTATGAATGAATTAAAACTTTTTTTTTTAAATGATTTAAACGAGTGATTTGATTTTAGGATATTTCCGTTTAAACGAGTTGATTTTAGGATATTTTCCCGTGATTTTAGAATATTTCCGTTTATCGTTGAAATTAATCTTTAATCCTTACAGATGCAATTTGTTCACAACCATTACGACTCGGAAATTGCAAGGAAAATATACGACGATACTGGTATGATGCGGTAAATCATGCATGTCAAATATTTAATTATACTGGATGTCAAGGCAATGATAATAATTTCGAGACATTATTAGAATGTCAAAATACATGCAACAATATTATTCGTAATATTTTCAATTAATTAATTAATTAACCTAAAATTAACCACTAATTCTTGTTAATATATTTTACACAAAATTTGAATGAGGAAAATTAGATTGCTAAAAATGAAAATTCAAAATATGATGTAAACATCATAATTTCTTCATCATTTTAAGTTTCTTTTTTTTTTCTTTTATTTAAAGCAATGATAGTAGCATAGTAAAATTGAATAATTAGCAAGTATTTAAAAAAGCTGAATAATTAGTAAATAGTGAAAAGTGGAATAATTTGGAGTTAATTCTAAGTGTGACATTATTATCTCATAATAAAGCTTACAATGATAATTTCGCTTATCACATTTAAACTGAAATAAGCAGAATGAATGATAGAAGTTGAAATCTTTTATTATCTAAATATTCTTTAATCAAATTCACAACCAGAAATGTTATTTTTTCGTTCCTTAATTAAGAAATATTTAATTATAGTAATTAGAGGACAATTTCAATTTTCGTTTCTTTCTTTTCTTTTTTACTTCAAATGATAATTAGAAGAGAAATGAATGAATGTTTATGATTTAATTTTAGAAGTAAAAATTTTATAAGTAAAAATAACAGATTTGTTTACGAAAAAAAAAAAATGTTTTTTATAAGTTTTAGCAAAACCGCGATGTCCACAAGGAGATGCATACAAGGATAATAAAGGAAATTATTTTATTTGTTCCGATTCTAATAGCGCCAAAACATGTCCATCAAATTATGAATGTCACTTTGATGGGAATTTGTGGAGTTGTTGTCCAACGAGAGAATATACATGTCAAGTATCATTTAGTAAAGGTGTCACTTGTGACATTCCTTCATCATATCGCTATTTTTACAATTCACAAATACAAGAATGCGAAAATTTCCTTTATAATGGTAAGTTATTATTTATTTGTTTGTTTTCTATTTTTATTTATTTTTATAGATTATTTTAACTATCAATACAATTTATACATTTATCAGTACTAAATTTAATGCAATATTAAATTTATTTCACAAGAAAAGAAAGAAAAAGAAATTTTCAGGTTGTGGTGGAAATTCAAATAATTTTCAATCATATGAACAATGCGAAAGTTATTGCAATGATAGAAAATGTCCAAATGGTGGTAGTCCAAAAAGAAATGAATTTAATAAACAAATAGACTGTTCATCAACCGTATCCTGTCCAAATACTCATGAATGTACATCACTTACTTCCGGAAATAGTATTGTGAATAGATGCTGTCCAAAGCGAGGTTTTTGCTTTTTATTTAAAATGAATTCATTTACAATTTTTTATACTAATTAATTTCTGAAATTTATTTATTTACAAAAATTGTCATTTCTTGTGTGCAAAAACAAAATGCTTATGCAAAGGTAAAAGGAAAATATTCAAAAATAAAAGTATTTAAGTAGAAAATAGAAGAATTATTGACAAAGTAATCCTAATTCGATCAATTTTTTTCGTCAATTTATTTGATTAGTAACTTTTTAAAATAGAGAAAGGGAACAAAGTATGTGTATTACGTGGGACAGAAGAAGACAACATATATTACGTGGAGAAGAAAACGTCATATATTACGTGAAGGAGAAGGCAGTATACATGTATATTTAAGGAAGTAATTCAATTACAAAAATTTTTGCAATAAATAGCAGATGCGATATTAAATACACCTTGAGCACCTTGCAGCATATATCTGTTCTTTACCGCCTCACCAAGGTAATTCATGTGGTACGTCAGTGGTTACACGTTTCTATTTCAATATAGCCAGTAAGGAATGCATCGAATTTACGTACAATGGTTGTGGCGGTAATTTGAATAATTTTGCTACTTTCGAGCAATGCAACAACTTCTGCTTATCATCAGCGTGCGCATCAGGCGATATCGTTCACGTAAATCCAAGTACACACATGCAATTGGAATGCAGAAGTGACGTAAGCAATAGTTGTCCCAATAATTTTACGTGTACCTATGATGAGCTTTTCGGAAAAAATGTATGTTGTGGTGCAACAAATATGGGTAAGTTTGTTCTTTTTTTTTTTGAATTCATCTCAACTAGACTGATTAAGAATCAGTTCAAAGGTCAACAAGGTGAATAAACAAAGGAATGAGCTAAAGTTAATAAAAAGAAGTAAACAAACCAAAGGAAGGCAGTGATGCATAATAATAATGACGCATAATTCATTCAATCATTTTGTATTCTCTCAGTTAAAACCATTTCCTATAAATGCTTCCATCTGAAATAATCACGTTTTAAGCGTTTTGTTTGTCAAAATAATTACATTTCAAGTGTATAAATGCTATCAAAATAATCATTTTTAAGCGTATAGTTTATCTATTTTCTTTAAAAGTTCAAAATTAAAAAATAAAGTTTTAAAATTGAATTGAAAAAATTTACAGAGGTTTGTCCAAGTGGTGAAAAAGCATATATGAATGCATTTAATATGAGTGTTCGTGAATGCTTAATAAACATTAGTACTTCATGCCCTGATTACTACCTATGTCGTTTTCATATGCAAACAAATCGTTACTATTGTTGTGCATCTATCAACGAAGGTAAAATTAGTTACAATATAAATTAAATTTAAATTGTAATAATATAAAATATGCTATTCTATTTTTAAAAGTAATTCTTTTTAAGCAATAGATATACTCATTTAAATGTATTTTCTTATAAATATTAAAATTTAATAATAAACGATTAAATTAAAATAGATGAGTGATAATAATGACTGTTATTCTATGTTATTGAAATTTTATTTTTTAAAGAAACTAAAATTTTGAACAATTTTTTTTTCTTTTAGACATATGTCCGAGAGGGAGAGCAGTTTACAAAGATCAGTCATCGAAATTGCCAATTCGTTGTATAATAAGTAGTGGAAGTAATCAATGTCCAGTGGGATACAACTGCTTTTCAGATGTGCCAGGAGCTTTACAGGTCATTTTGTATTTAATTTATAAAGGTCATTTTGTATTTAATTTATGAAGGTCATTTTATATTTGATTTATAATTGAGAAAAAATAATCATTGAATCAAAGACTTTCTATGATATTGACATGTTCTCTTTGAAAAATATACAAATTGAAATAATTTTTAGACTATTTTCTAAATTTATCATAAGCATTATTTTTGAAAGATTATGACGCTATTTTCTTTTTTTTTTTTTAGCTTTTAAAAACTGTCTTCAAATTTATTCAATATTCTTCGTATACATTTAAAATTTTTGCTGAATATCATTTCAATAAAAGTTTGAAGTCAGAGTTTGAATTTTGCAAAAGTAATTAATTAATTTTTTGAAAAATTTATGCATTTGTTTGATAGCTAATTAGATGTTATTTAATTAGATAAATCTAATGGAATACTGGGATTGATTTGATGAAAAATATCATTTTTTTGAAAATAAAACATTTAATAATTACAAATTTCCTTGCAATTATTTCAAATTAATTTTTTATGACTAAAAATTTGGATCAATTTCCGTGTTAATTTATCATTGATCTGTTAAAATTATTTACAGTGTATTTTCTTTCTTTTTAGGGTTATTGCTGTTCATCAAATTATTTATGTCCAAATGGTGCAAAATTTTATTCCGAAATTATTAGTAAAATGCCACGTTCATGTCAACTTAATTCACCATTTATCACCTGTCCTATTGGTTATACATGTCAAAATGCAGAAACCGAATTAATGACCGGTTATTGTTGCGAAAATGATAATACATCAGTTTCCGGTATGTTAAATGTTTTTCTCGATTATTACTTAAAAAAAGAAAATAAAAAAAAAAAATAAAACATGCTGAAACAAATGAAAATTTATTCTGCTAATTGCAATTTTAATTAAATTTTATAATTTTGATCACATCCTCAAATAAAAATTCTATATAATAAAATTTTTAGAGTATTTCAAATTAATATAATAAAAGATTAACAAAATATATCGAATTGAATTATTTGCTTTTTTTTTTTTTCTTATTTGTTTAGTATGACTGTGATCAATTATTTCTTCTTTTCCGGATTAATTGCAGGAAGTTTCAGGAATTTTCATTTCTGAACTGTAATAATAATAATAGTGTACTTACTGTTAACTTACTGCTAATTTCGCATAAATTGATTAAATTTTATACAGATGGTTGTCCTCCAAATAAATATGTTTATATGAGAGATAATGAAGTGATTTCCTGTGATCCATTTAATTCATTAACAAATGTTTGTCCGAGAGGTTACTCATGTCAGTGGTCATTACCAAAACGACGTTATCAGTGTTGTGGTAATGCATCAATGCTTGCAAATAAAATCACTAAAAGTAATTTTTTTTTTTTTTTTACAATCTCTAAGTAATATTGTAAATAAATTTGCATAATTTATGATGATGTTAACAAAATTATTGTTTGAAAAGAGCTGATAATTGATAATTGATTATGATATGATGTATAAATGCAGTTATTTTTACAAATGTATTATATTTGATGTGAATAATTATTATTTCATGGAATATGCACCAAAGATTGAATACTTAAATTTCACATATCAAAATAATTATCTAAATTTTATGAATAATTTCATGTTTTATTACTTTAAGGATCAAAATTACATATCTTATCACTAACTTATTGCAGGGTTGTAAGATCAATGCAAGAAAAAAGAAACAAAATCTAACATTATAATTTAAAATTATTTAAATTTAAATGAACTGAAATGTTTTATTGAAATAAATTAGTTAAAGTGGTATAAATTTGTATAAAAATAATGAAATGAAATATTTTCAAATAATTTTAGCTTGTCAAGAAGGCGAATTGCTAATAGCAGATGAATGTTTGGAACGAAGTGAGCCAGGTGATCTTTGCATAGATGATAAGCAATGCCTAGGTGGTTCCAGGTGTAAAGATGGCATTTGTGAATGTATCAATGGATATATCATTTATCATGGCAAATGTATTATCAAAGAAGCAAAAAGTGCTAAAATAAAATGTTCAATTTCAAGTCAAATACCATACTATGAGAAAGGATCTAAAAAGGTTTTATTTTTTTTTTTTGAAAATTTTGATAATTTAATGTTATTAATAATTGTCTCTATAAATTAGATTTTATTATCATAGGTTATAGTACGTTAGAAAAAAGAAAAATAACAATCAATAGCAAATACTATATCATTTAATTGATATAATGTCTTGATGAATGAAATTTATTAAGAGGGAGAGAAAGAGAAAGAGAGAGAGAGAGAGAGAAAAAAAAAAGGAAATTTCAGGTTCGATATTGTTCAAACTTAAAGAATAGTTGTCCAAAAGGATACAGTTGTCAATTTAGTCGTGATGCTGGACGAAATATTTGTTGTGGTCATTTATCAGGTATCAGTATTATTGGTAGAAGTAATAGTAGTAGTAAATCAACGATAAATGTTCGAAATCATTTCAAAGTTTCCGTCGATATTTGCAACGATGGTACCCCGTATATGCTAAAAGGAATACCACAAACTTGTACTATGGCACCTTGTCCGATTGGATTTGATTGTATTTTTATTAAAAAAGCACAAAATTATTTCTGTTGCAAAAGGAAAATTAAAGAAGGTATGTTAATTTTATTTTTTTTTAATATTATTAATTATTAATAAAATTTGTTCGTTATACTAGTATAATTTCATTGTCAAGCAAACATTTTTATCAAATAAAATTGTACAAATTTTTTTTGCATTTTAATTTAAATCATGAAATACATCACAGAGGTGCAAAATGATGGTTGTCCTTCCGGAACAGCACTTCTTTTTCCAACAACCGGAACACCGTTACAGTGTAATAATGCAAAGCAAAGTTCGTGTCCTAATGGTTATCGTTGTCTCAGATCTATTAAAAATAACGGATATCAATGCTGTACCTCAGCTTACAATCCTTTTTCAAGTAATATTTTTAAATAATTATATAATTTTGTAAATTATAAAATTTGTAAAATATATCGTCCAGAAACTATTAATTGCAATATTTTGAAAAATTAAAAAAAAAAAAAAAGAAAACTTGAAAATTTTTTGCTGTTTATACATAAAAAGTTTGCATAGCTACTAAAATTAAGGTTTCATTTATTTGACAAAATCAACTTTATACGACACCAATATGCCATTTTGTAAGTAGTAAAAGAGATCGATTAATAAATGAAAGTAAGAGTAAAAAATATGAGAAGTGCAAATATCTTAATTTTAGGATTTTATCAAACCTCGATCAATGCGATATCATGTCCAGGAAGTCAAGTTCAAGTGAGACGATACATGAATGGTCAATATTTAAATCTTTGCGAAGATCATTGTCCAATTTATCAAATCGCAGTTAATGGTTTCTGTAAGAGTCTGGCTGATTTGATATAAAAGTGGTATGAATTCATAAATAATATCGCAATCGCTTGTGATCTTTCTCATAATCACTTAGAAGCATTCTAATTCCCACTACTGATAACAAATGATATCTCCAGTTTTTCAAAGTTTCATTCTTATTTAAATTTGAAAAATGCAGAGACCATACCTTTGTTCAGGATTGATATATTTTGAAATCTATTGATTTCATTTTTGAGACTTCATTGGAATTTACTACATGATCTCAATATAACATCCTGTTGGCAGTACCAGTCAACAGGGAACTTACTAGCATCGCAATCATTCATCATAAAATGTATGCATTAATCCCTTGTTTTGTTATTGTTGATTTATTTCATTTTTTTTTCCTCTTGAAATAGATTCATAAAAACCAATGGATAAAGCAAGAGAAAGAAAGAATTATGATTAATTCAATGGATTTCTGGCTGTTTGGAAAAGCACAAGAGCCATTTGCTCCCTGTCATTAATAAAAATTAGGAAAAATTGATAAAAACTTAAAAGTTAAGAGGTTTTCAATGAATAATTGTAAAATAATACATATTTGTAAATACATAAACGATACAATGATATGAACAATAAATGATTATTACAACCACAATGATTTTGTTCGCAATCTTGTCTACAAAGGTAATTCTTCAATTATCGCCAATATCTAGCGCATTTGAAATATTTTATGTGCCGACATCTGTCTCCAACTACTTCTTTAGATACTACCTTTGGATTTCAAAACTTGCTACTTTTAGTAAATAAATCAACTTAATAATTGCAATTAATGCACTTATTTCCGAGTTCTGAAATCGCAACACTTTCATCCCATTTGACTCACTACTTTAAAACTTCAAACAAAAATGAGACAACTCTGTTGCGTGAGCGCTATTATTAAAGTACAAGAGGTAGACAAATTAGAAACCTATACAAAACGAAATCATAAGAAGTATAACACAAATATACAAACACAACATTATAGCAAATAGTATCCATGATATAATGACATAACGATCACCGCTTATTTTCTGTTTCAACGATGCCCGCCAAATCTCACTGGAAACTTTTGGCATTATTTATTTATTTATGGCTATTATGATTCTTCAGTTGCATGATCTTTCTTAAAAATTCTTAAATTCAGATTACAAATATTCTTTAAAAAAAAATATACTTCAAGCTTCTCATATTTATAAAATATGTAATTGATGATTGCATATCTATAGCCTTTGATGAAAAAGTAATAAAACTGTCACACTTTCACTCTATTTAATGATTTTGCATTTTATCGAGATGACTAAATGAAATTTCACAGTAACTCAACTCATCCATTCCGAATGATGTAAAAATTTAATATATTCAAAAAAATATTATGGCATAACAAATATAAAATCAGATAATAGCCAACAATGCTTACTGTTATTTTTCATTAACCAAAATTATAATCTAATTATGATCTTACTAATTTTGCCGCTGTATAACACCAAGAAACAAAAAGAATATTGCATACTTGGTTACCATCTGTTACCATTATTCACTAACATCTATTTGTTCTTCCAAATGAGTTACTTCCAAATGAGCAATAGCTTCAAGGATATGTTCCATACTAATTGATAACGTATATTCATTAAATTTACTACATTCTGAAGTTATAACAAAGCCGATCTTTTGGAAAAGCTTCAAACTACCAACATTGTCTTTTGAAATTTTTACTTCAAAAGTTTGTAACCCAATCACTCGAAACGCAAACATTAACATTATCCGAACCGCCTCTTCACCTAAACCTTTACGACGCCATTTAGATTCCGCAATCATAGTTGTGAGTTCTCCAATATTGTTGTTTATGAAGATATTAACATCACCCACCATACTAGCAATCTGGAAAATTATCCTAATATAAGATTAAAAATTAGCGTAACCGAAACAGGTAACGCAATCTTACCTGAGCACATTGGCTGATATTAAATATAATATCATACAAATATTTTGTCTTCATAAAGATTTCATGCAGTAAATAAAGATTACGTTCAAAGTTCCGTCACCTCATCAGCACCACTATCAATTAAGTCACGGGCGAGAATAATAAATGTACACTTATCGTCATCTTCATGCCATTTCATCTGCATTTCATGTTCCTCTTCCAGTGATAAACGCTTAGAAGCTGTCAGTCGCCGTAATTCTTCATCCTGAAGATGACATTTCCATACTGAATCAATTTCAAACTTCATGCATTTCACCAATAATTTGCTAAAATTTAAATGACAATTTATTATACCTCCATCCAGGTGTGATATTTAGCTACATGACATTCACGATATGACACCAAAATTATCTTCTCACCAATAAGCTTCGTGTGCTCGTTCAGACGCATAATCCCAGTTGCAATAATTAATTAATTAAGAGGAAAGGGACGAGCCGTAAAACTTTTTCGAATGATATGCCCGATCCGGGAATTGTTTTTAGCGGGAGGAATGAGAAACGATTAATTTGATGGTGTGGCGTTGCCGTCTTATCCAGGGGGTGGGGTTATTTGAGATTTTACCTGGAATAGGGATTTATTTGAAGTTACTGGAACTTCACTATCAAATTATTAATCTGCTTGGTTCTTTAATTTCTCATCTTTCATCCTTCTGACAAGTTTCATCATAAAAGGAAATAATTGTTCATATTAATTATGATAAGTAATTTAATTCCAGAATAATTTTCAAATTATTTTTAGGAGTCATCTCAAGATAAAACTACAACGGTTTAACGTTACATATGGAATTAGCTGGGGAGGAGGTGGATGTAGATTCAGATGTTACTGCTGGTGCATCTTTCACTCTTCATAGCAATTTTAAAAGTAAGCTAAAGCGTTGTCACTCGTAGATTAATTCAGAATGTAGTGACACAAGTTTGATAAGATTTTTTTAATTCTCCTATATTTTAATATAAAAAGTTGGCATGAAAGATCTATGTAATACTACCTCGGGATGCTTGGCTTTTTTTTTGTTTGAAATCATAACTTTGGACATTAATTTAATCCCATTGGAATCAACTTTGGACATTAATTTAATCCCATTGGATTTCACACTTTAATATGATTCTGAATTTTATATATATCTCAGTATTTGCTCGTGCAATTTTGGCGTTGAATCGTGTCGGCAATGAATTGTACATGGAACCAAGTGATTTCGGTGTAAGTTTATTGCAAATGTCAAAAAAGCTACTTTGGTTGAAATTTTTAGGAAAGCAGATTTTAATATGAAGTGAAAGTAATTTAGATTTTTAATGTGGGGAATATCAGTCACTGTTTGGTTGCTAAAACGATGTTATTTCAGCTTGTTTTGCGATCTTTAAGCTGTTCGAAGTCGGCCTTTGGCACTTTTATGTTTTCCAAATCATTCTTCAGTGAATGTGATGTATTACGACTTGATCCGAATGCTTACAATGTCTGCCGAATTCCAATGAAGGTTTCTGTTTTAGCTTTTCTGAATAAATAACAGATTATAATTCTGACGCGATACAATTTCGTCTTTTACAAAATTTAGTGGTGTTGCTTTTTTGCTTTCTTCATAGTTTGTAATTTAGTGTGCGTTATCAGCCTTCAAGTGTGTGAAAAGTTCTGAAAAGGTTGTTCTTTCATGCCAGATTTATCTCAATCCTCGGGCCGATACTATGCTTATTCAACTCACACATACCTATGGTTCGTTGGATATTTATACCGCCGAGTTTCTAGTGATTTTCACATACCTCTTCACTTCGGCCTACCACATTCACTTACATTTCACCACATCGTGATTTATACATGTAAATAAAAAAAGAAAGCTTCGGCCATTTGAAGTTTCAGTGAAAAATTGATTCCATTCAATAATTTAGTGCATTCCGTTATCTTATTTCAGATGTCATAAGAGATCATCAAATACCATTCTTCGAATGCACCACCACGTTTCGAACCGTTGTCGATAAAAAAAATTTAAATAACTGTTTTGTGATACAAGCAAGGTAACTTACTTTTGATTTATGAGAGTCGATGCTATGTAAATTTTACTAATTTTGTGTCAGTTAGATAGTTCGGGAAATTTCATATTATTAGATTGTTGCTCGAAATGTTCAATCGAATGCATCACAACACGGATGAAATTTCAATTGATGCTAAAATTGACGAAATATCATTCAGAAATTATATTACACACGAACAAGGTTGTTTTCGGTCTTGTTCGCCTACCTTCTGTCATACTGCTATTAACAATCAGTATAGTCGACTACCAAATTTCATGTGGAATAATAAAGCTTGGATTTTGGTCTCCTTCTTTTTATGTTTGCTAAAGCTTTCAATTTCTAGAAAATTTTTTCTAGAATATTTCATATCTTTTTCGAAGTACTAAACACTACCTTATATGATATTCTGTGAGCTAAGCTCAAAGGTTTTTTTTTTTTGACATTTGTCTTATAAGCAAGGTAAATAAGCGATAATCATCAAAAACGTTTTCAATTTGCCTCTTCATAGCGTATTTATCTTGTCTATCCCTTCATTTTTAATTTGATTGGTTCCTCACTTTTTGCTTCAACATATTTTAGATAGAGACATGGTTATGAAAATCGAAGGAAAAATTCCAGTTGCTGAATTTCAGAAGTACAGTATTCAACGGCCAGCTGAAATTACTGTGAATTTGAAGGAACTGAAAGCTATTGTAAATTTTGCAGATATTCATCAGTCATTTGTCAGCATTTATTTCGACCAACCAGGGACGTAAGTTTAAATCATTTTTTGTGCTTTTAAAACGAGGTTCGTAAGGTAAAGTGCAATTAATGGTTGAAAAGTAGAGTAGCAGAAATTAAGAAAACTTTCAAATGATATTATTATGAAGAAAGAAATTTTCAGACCTATAGTAGTAGCTTTGGAAGATAATGTCGTTTATACGGCTGAAGTGATACTTGCAACAGCTGTGGATGATCCCGCAGGTTATGATGTGAATCCCGAAGTTCCAATCAAAATTGTTCATGTCCCAAATGACAAAGGACAACTTAAACGGAAGCGAAGTCAGTCTTCGTTAAATCCTTATCTGTCAGAAAATTCGGCAACAGATTGTATGGTGTCAAGAAAGCGAGTCATTGGGACATCAAGTGTCAGGAGTAATGGTGCAAATGAAGCGTTAAGTGGAGTAGGAAATAAAGATTTTGTTATTGGTCTACCATACGCAACGTCTTCTCCCATCAGGTAAGATTGTATTTGTTTTGTATATATTGTTTTCATCGGGTTTCTGCAAAACAGAAAAAGAGATTGTGAATATAAGGAATTGTTGCTTTTTTTTTTCTTCAAATGGCATCGTCTTTTTCATTGTTTGCTGAGCATTCTATCACTAAACATTCAATTTTTATACAAATTAACATTTTTTATGCATTATTTTTTATTTGTTTCCTAATTTTATTGCAGCGAAACACGAAAGGAGCAGATAGCACAGAAAGGAAAAGAAGTCACATTGGCGGAGAATCTAAAACTGCAAGATGATGCTGCGATGGACATTGGAACAAGTGTGTCAGAGACTTCGAGAATTTCGAGAATGAATCCCTATGTTGATGATGTTAGGAGATCTGGATCAGAAAGCCCACCTTCTCGAGGTCCAGCCGTAAGTTTTTCGTTTGTTTACTTGAGGTTATGAATGTATATGTTATCTCACTACTTGTACAAAATAATATTATTCGACTTAGGTCATTATTTTTTCAGCTCTTTCGCTATTTATTTTCACTTGATGAGCCAACATTTGATTCAGCAGAATTTTCCCGCGACGCGGAAGTTCTGGCTTCTGATTCGGGTTCAGAGGCTTCAGATCTACATCCGGAACAGTATATCTTTGAGTCTGATTCAGAACCTGCTTTATGACCCAATTTGCTCACATCATATCTAAAGTCTTCGAGGAAATGATCTCTTATGAAATTCATTTTCTTGGGCATTTATTTTATTTTATTTTTTTTTATTCGTGATAGGAATCATCGCTGTGCTCTGATTTAACCAATATTTTAATGGTTTGTGTTCTGTCAGATTAACTTATGCATTTGATTAGAACTAAATAAGCAAAATTTAGTTTCAGTTACAGTTGTTATATAGTTTTTATCAAATGTTCTATTGTTTTCATATTACTCGGTTTAATCGTATGTCATATCACACAAAATTTTTGTAGAAATTGATCTCTCTTGTACTTAAAAGTTTTGTATATGTGTATAAATATATCACTTCTTGATTTTTCTGTTTATTTTTTCATGTAAATTTAATAAAATTTTTTAATCATTTTCTATGATGTCTATTGTACTTTGATAATTGCTTGTTTTACTTTCATTCCACTTACCTTCATTTTATCTCACTTCATTACGTCGTTGCCCCCTCCCCTCTCCCCCCCCCCCTCCCCATTATTGAATTTTCAGCAATAATAAAATAAACTTTTTTTTTTGTTGGAACAAAGTGGTGTTGAACGTGAAAATTTTTTATTTTTTGAAATAATTTTTGATGTGGTAAATATTGTATTTTTGTAATTTAGTTACGAACTTTAAAAACGACATGTTGCTATCAAATTGTCATATCAAACACTTAGTCTTTGCACAATAAAATACGGAAGAATCGTAAGGGTGTAAAAACTTGTCTTCAGCCATATACACTATGAAACCTTTCGTTGTGTTTATGTGATTGAAGACAAGTTTAATTTGGTAAAAAAAAGTCCTTGGATTCATTATTTCAGTTTTCAGTCTTGTTCAAATTATTATTTAGTTCGTTTGTTCAGCTGAGTTAGGAATTGGGTTGTAAACAATTTCATTCATTTTCAATTTATTAAAAAAAGAATTTCCCAACTACCACATATGCTATCTCCATTTTCTAAAAAGGAATGACATGAATTTAAGATAAAACTTGTTTGTTTGAAAAATTAATAGCTTCTTAGGAGCAGATGGCATTTTTTGTATTCGTTATAGTAGGTATGATAATCTGAAGATATATTTATTTAAATTGTAATGAGTTTTTATGAAATCCTTCTTTGCTTGTTATACTAAAAAAGTGTTATAGAAGAGATTGTTTGATTTTATTAAATACATCTGAATATTACTTGATTAAAATAAAACTTTTTGAGTATTTGAGTAAAACTGAAATGAATGATTAAGGACTATGTATGGAAATTTCAATCCTTATCATTTCTCAGAGAATCAATTATCAGTTATAATCCTTGTTTACATGAATATGTTAATATTTTCTAGAGATTTATTTGATATCTATGCACAATTATACCTGAATCATAATTGATATTGTACTATCAGCTGTTATTAGATGATGTTTTTTTGAGATTAATGAGAGAGAGGGAGAGGAGAGATTTGATGGAAGTATGTGCAGGAATTATCCATCATTATTCAAGAATCAAACTTCACAAACATTCAACAACATAAATTTATTATATAACGAGATTTCTTGCACTCTCGAACTTGTTAAGTAAATCATTTATCTATCTATCTCTCTCTCTCTCATATCATATGATTTTATCACTTTGTTAGATTAAAACATTGCTTTCAAACTCTCATCTCTAATCACTTATCATTTTATCATCTTCATGTAATAATTCCAATTATTAAAAGAGCTTTAATTGGAAGCTATTCACTTTAATAACTGTAGTTCTTCAATTCATTGTATAACCTATTCATTATTGAATATTTTCTTTTTTTTTTTACTATTTCAATTTCACCATTTCTAAGTCTTTTCTACCACTCAATGTCATCACTTCATATTGTACACAAGTAAGAAGTATCAGCACATCCAAGTCATTCAATCGGTTATTTTAAATTCAATTATTGGATAAGTTATTGAAAATTGTTAAAAAAAATATATGCTGGATAAAATTAAAATTGGACGATATTTATGAAAGAGAAGGATTTTTACCAGTTAAGACTTTATTTGGGATTAAAAGAAGTAGAGAGATAGGAAAGAAACTGATAATTACTTCACATTATTAGAGTTAAAAAGATTATCGAATGAAGAAGTGAAAACAAATGTGAAATTTGCCAATTGATTGAAGTGAAGAAATTGGGAAAAAAAAGAGGAAACATACAATGTTATTCAAGGAAATGACACTTTAGAATTACTCTAATGCATTAGAAAAGAAATACTTTTTTTTTCCATAAAACTCTTGTGCTAACAAAAGAAAAAAATAATATTGGATGCTCCATTCATCTTAATCAGTACTAGTGATAATCTTTTATTTACTTTATTTATTTCTAATATTTATTAAACGAAATTTCGTAGTGACTAGGATAAACTGTTTTGTTGTTAATATTTAAGAATTCTGATACATATTTCATACTTCAGGTTTAAATAATTAAGATTTATACGTATATATTTAATCAGATATATATTTGTTTTGGATCATATTATAAATGTAGTGAGAGATTTTCATTTAGTCATCATTATTTTATAGATTTTACAATATTCATAACGTATGGATGCGTTATCATGATAAGGATTCCGTTAATGGCAACAAATCAATTGATGGAGATTCTTTAATAATTCAGTTAATACTAAATTTTTCCTTTATTTTCAATTTACTTGATTGAGTTTCATTGAAATGTATGAAAATACAACTTATTAAAGTTCTTGTTCAAATTTGTATCCAACACACAACTTTCGAAAATGGAAATACATATGTAGTATTTATAGTCAAGAGATGAAAGCTTTTCATAAATTAATTAACCGCGTTAAAATTTGGTTCCTGTATTCTTCAGGTTTTTTTCTCACTTTTGGTTGAATGATTTGCAGTATTCCTTTGTATCTTTATTATGTATCTTTATTTTCAGTAGTTTAGTTTTCAAAAATTAAAAAGAAAGTTTTCATTTATTTAAATGGTAAATATGATGAATAATAAAAGGTAAGATTTGATAAAATGATATAAAAAGTAGGCTTTGGAGTCCATAACATGCATATTTCATCCAGAAATTCTGTTGATTATAGCTTAAACAAAGATAATTCTGTTGCTTATAGCTTAAATAAAGATATGAAGTAGCTTAGTTTAAAATTTTCGTATGATTTAATGTACAGAACTATTGGTTAATGTTATTTTCTCTTTTGTAATCTCAAGAGGTCTAATTTTTCGCGTTAAATTTTTTCGAATCAAAAAAAGAGAAATTTCAGAGTTATGTGGGAACTGTTTAAAGACATGTCATGAGGGATGTAATTGCTCCGTTAAATTTCTTATTTTTTTTTTTTGTCTATGCCTTCTCGAAAGCAAATGGGACATTTATTGGATTGAGAAACTCAAGGTTGAGTGATGAATGGATAGTGATATTAAGTTGCTGAATGGGCTTTGTTAGTGAACATTCAGATAAATTAGTTATAAATCATTGATTTTTTAATTGAAGCAATTCGGTAACTTTTTTATTAGCAGTACTTCATAAATAATTTTTTAATGAATAGTTAAGAATTTAAATTAGTTTTCAGATGTCAGACTAGAACACGATTAGAAAGTATTTCAGTACCAACCTTCACTTTCATTATGTCATTTAAAAGCCTTTAGTTTTGCTTGCTGTATAATTACATAAAAAGCCTATTTTCAACGTAATTCTTGCGGCTAAATTAGAAGTTTTATATTGCGAAATTAAAGAATCAGTTTAAATTTTGGTTGGTTTGGAAAGCTGTGTTACATTTCCTTCATTTATATTTAAGTCCTTCGCCAGAATATTTTGCATTTTCCTATTTCGCATTCATTGTTTTCTCCGTTCGTAGCAAGATGTTCAGAACTCCTAGATGCTCTAAAATCACTTAAATTATTTGTAAATGACAACTTCTAAAAAGCATTCATATTCCTTATAAAAGACAAGAATCATCAATCAGAAAAGCATGCTTCTCGTGTAAATATTTGTCTCGATTTTGTTTGATAACGAAATTTGAGGACCAAAGAGGAATGATTGCTTTGTTAGACCGTTCTCTGTAGATACACTATCCACGGATAATAGATTTGTATTAGGGAAAAGGGATTGAGGAAGGAAATATGTATTTGTATTTGTCTCAAATTGCTTCCAATTCATATTTATTATCTTTTTATTTCATTGACAGTTAACTATCTTATATATATACTACTTTTTATCGAAGAAAGTAGTATAATCAAATCTTGCATAAGATGGTTAAAATTACCGTATTTGATACCAACCATTGTTTACATTGCTAGTCGAGAAAACATTAGGATTGTATACCTGTTGAGATTGTTCAGTTGCTCTCTTACTATCAGTTTTTTTAAATAAACATTTAAGATTAAATAATGCGAAAAAACTGTTTCATTCCATATAGCGCAATTTTTAACAATGGATTGGAAGTATGCTGTTGATACGTCATAGTTAATATTACATGGGATGAAGGAAAAGGAGGAGGAGGAGGAGGGGATGTCTAAACCTTTTTTATGCCAACAATCGTCGATAGAGGAGCTTCTTTTTAATCTCTTCACACGGAGCATTTTACCGAAATGCCTGTTCGGTTATTCATTGTAGAGTAACCGGTTTGTCCAGTGAATTAATTGTACAAGACAGAGTAAGTTTAGAAATGCATTTTTGTAGAATTGCAATGATCCATTAGTTTAACATTATGATAAGTTTAAAAAAATATTTTTGATATGCATTAAATAAGGATGTTTATCATAGTAGTTATGATAAGAGATCAGATACTATTGTCACTATCACCTTGATAGGTGCAATCATCTAATGACTCCTTTCTTATAGCTGATGATGAAGTCACGAGAACACAAAATTACTTTTCTATTTGTGCTTTGTTGTTCAACATGGTTCTGGTCTTTTCATTTGATGATAACGTTGTTTTTTAAGATTTATACAGCTGTGCAGTTAATGTGTTGCTTAAACCAACTGTTAGCAGCAACTTCACTTATGGATGTAGCAGGCGATTGAAAATTATCATACATAGTACATGCCTCGGAAGTACTGTCACCATGGCTGTCACTTGTTTTGCCCGTATATCAGTATTAGACAAGAGGAAGAGAGGGGAGCAAGCAGGGAAAAAGATGGTTGTGATGCGTCGCTACCAGCTGCGCTCCCGAGGGGTTCAACTAACCAATTTTTCGATTTAATACGCGGTTAGTTTCAACCAGTTAGTGTAGAGAGAAAGAAAGAGAGGCAAAGAGGAGGATAGAGAGTTACTGCAGTCGTATGATGGTATACTGGCGGTGGCGGTGATGGTGATGGCATTCGTAATTCTCGATATCATCGTAACCCTTCCTCTATGTCCTTCCTCATTTCATCTGTTCTTAACATTCTTTTCATGATCAGATCTACATTTTGTCTTCTTTTGATTTGTTCTGATCCTCTCATTTGGAGGAAATGTCCTAAGACGGGGGATGGGAGAATAGTAAGAAAGAAGGAATGAGCAGGGCGTGCAATGGGGGGAGTATCTCCTGCCCTTTGTTTCCCGAATATTGATGTGTAATATAAAATAAATATATGGTATGATCTAATATATATGATATAATATAATGTATGATATGATCTAGTAGTATTATATAATACAACATATGATATAATATGTAATATATCATATAGTATAATGTTAATAATATATTAATACTATAGTATTGTATTATATTATATATAATTTCAAATGCTATCAAACTTCATTTCGTTCATTTAGTGAGTAATATAACATGTTCAATGAATTATTGTGGTGGTGTAATACTTTGCAATAACCACTGATAGATCAAAGATTAACGGTGACCTTCTCAAGGAAGAATTGCAAGAATTGAAATCGTTTTGTTTTATTGCGTAAATCTTCCCGGATGTGTATATCATCTGCTTGCTGATGTCACTCCTTCAGTTTACGAAAATCTCTTAGTGTTCATGGATTAGGTTTTTCGAAAGTCATAAAATTTTTTTCTGTTCTTTGTTTTCAAGAAAGTCTGTTTCCACTAAATCTGATTGTATATTTTCCGTCCGATTTTTTTGTGGTTGATGTCTTTTTTCTTTTATTAAATGTGTTACGGGTCGTAGTAGACCATGACGTGTATAGGAATAGCTGTTAACTAAAGTGTTTTTAAGATTTGAAATGAGTAATGCTGATTAAGTCTGATATCGATTCGTCACCAAAAGTATAAGCACAATGAAATAAATTTCTTCATTTTTGGCATATTTTGAACCACTTTTGCCAATCTTATATCTTCGCTGTTTACTAACATATCTGAATGCGTTGAATTTTTTCCCGAAAATTTCTATTTTCAACCTTTTTTAAGCAAAAAAAAAACTTGCAGTCAAAACCATATTTAGAAATGGGAAGAAGTGGAATGAAGAAAAAAAGATCAAAAAATGATGCACTTTTATGTGTTTTTGTGCAAAATGCATATGGAAATCATTGTTATGGGCAGAAAAAAGAATATAAATCATTTTAGTAAAATACTCCGGAAAAAAAGAAATGCCGAATATATACGTATATCAAAAAATTTATTGAATGCTCTGACATCATTTGACATGTAAAATCGTATTTATGTTTTTTATTTGGTTTTAAGCTATCGAACTAGAGATTGTCCGAGCTATCAGATGACAACACTGATGTGTAGAAGCACAATGGAGCTTGCATAGTCGAAGGCTACTGAAACAAATTGTGCGGAGAAATGTATGAAAGTGCACTGAATAGCGAGCAGTGACGGTTAATGATTTATTAGTTGGTAACATAAATATTTTGTATAGAAGTTTACTAGCAGTTGGACTGGACTAATAATCATTAAGCACAATATAAGAAGTAAGTATAGAAAGTGGTTAAATTTATGTCTCTTCCTTATTTGTGAGTGAAACTTGATTACGTTACTTTTCGTCGTTCCATTCGTCTTTAGTGTTACAATTAAGCGTGAAGAATTATTCCATCACTTATTTTCCAATAATCTTTTTCGTCGTTTTTTTAAAATATATTACTCGCAAGAGTAATTTTTTTAGAAGCGAATACCAAAGTTTAAGTACCTTTTTCACATGGCAAGGATATTCCTTATCATTACAAAGCAGAAATCATTTAAATCATTGTCTTGAATTGATTAAGAAAGTGAATTGTTTTTTCCTTTTTTTTCCTTCCGGTGATTGCTTTCCTTTTACCGGAAACACTAGAAAAAAAGTAGAGTGGACAAAACACTAGATTGACGAAATTGGTCTGCTACTACTTTCTGAAGCTTATGCACTCATTTTAGCAGACTTTTGAGTGAGCTTTGATTTTATGATATATTTTTTACGAATTAGGTTTGATTTTTAAAATGCAAAAAAGTATCAATCTCTAATGCTGCAACCCTTTTTCTTTTGGAATTTCCGATAAGTTTGCTTTTTTGCTGCAGTAATATCACTGGACAATGTGGTAACAAACTGTTCTGAACCTATAATTTAATGAAATAGATGGAGATTTTCCTCTTAATATTTGAGACATTCTGATATATGCATAAATATCTGATGTATTTGTATAAATGATAGTATTTTAATTCTATTTCTTCTGAAATGAAAGGAGAATACCGTGTAGAGGGATACCATCCTGCGTAAAACCACTTCTCAGATCTGATCAAACTACCGATGAGAAACTGTTTTATCTTGGAATAATTAATATCTAAGTAATTTTTTTTGATTGCAGTTTAGGTTGACGTCCTCTTTATAATATAAATTTCTGTTGTATCAAGATGTGAGTGACAGATGGCATGGTAAAGAGTCGTTCATTATATACTTAACATGCAATGGTGAAAAAAAATGGGTTCACTATCGTATCTTCAGAACATCATACTTTGTCATTCATAGTATTGTTTTCTCTATTTTGTAAAAGACTCATCTTAGTTACCACTCTTTGTGTTGAGAGAAGACCAGATTAAATTTTGGAAGGGATAGAATATAAACGGTACAAATAAAATTTTTCAATACATTAATAGAAGTAACAATCCTCAAGTCAAGGACGTTCTGAAGCTAAGTACTTGTGTTGTTCAATTCTTTTAACCCATTGAGGAGAATAGAAAAATGCAAAGTAATGAGGAAGTTGATCATCTTTGTTAATTTTTGTAATTTTGCATTTTTTACAAGTTGTATGATTCAAGGTCGATATATCCGTTTCAAATAACTTTCAAGTATTTCATCTTTACATGGTTTTAAATCTCTTTTTTGATTTTCACTGATACATGGTGGTTTATCGTCCAAATCAAAACTATGAAAGGTGGGTGAAGAAAGTCATTTGATCCTTCAAAAATTTAACCTCATTGAGGGTTGCATTTGTGAGTGGGATTAAATGAGGATTACATTAGTTTACTGGAACTTAAAGGTATAAATGAGGCCAGGAGTAAACTGCATTTGAAGATCTGCATAATCTCACTTAACCATAGTCAATAAAGTTTAATCAAAGAGCTCCTAATTTTTGGGAGTTAGAATTTCTTGGACTATCTGGAATTCTTGAAAACTAAGCCTGAAATATCATCAAAGCATAGATGAAGTTTTGTTAGTGATAGATATTTGTGAATTTGAAATGCTTTTAGAACCAATTTTCCTTGGTTCTCGCATAGGAATCGATGTAAAGAGTTTGCACTACTTATAGTGTAAGACACTCCATTAAGGATGTCTGTGCATTGTCTATGTCTGTTGTGTCTGTTTGTATGTGTTGATGTCAGAACTATTGATGAAATAAATTAATTGGAATGCAGGATGGCATGTTTCCGTCACTTGCATTTACTGTTATTGTTGAGCTTCATTGTAAATTGTTTATATCTCATACTTAGTTTCTTACTGCTCTTTGTATTAATTGTATGAACAAAATTTGGGGAATTTTTAGACTTCGTTTTCTCTCCTCTATCATTATTCTTCTTTCGTTCATTCTAAACATTTTTCACTATTTTCCAAAATGTTCGTTGTTCGTTGAAATTTTAAAGAAATTTTGTTTTTATGAAGCTTTTAGTTTTTCCAGGTTAACGAGCGAATATTGATTCTTTTCTTCTGGTAACATCAATAGCAGCAGCTGCGTTGTGCGCGCTTTCTGATTATCATTCTAGCGCCTTACTAAATTCTGTTATTTTTTTTTTTCGATTTAA